CTCAGTCAAGTTGACACACAGAATTAATCCTCATATAGGTCTGCTCTTGTAAATTCTTCTGAAAACAGGGATAGGAGCAAAAGGGAAAAAAAAAGTCACACTTCTCAATTACTTTTAACGATAAGTATATTGGAGTCTCTCTGTGCTGCTGGGGATTGAGCCTAGGGCCTTGCATGTATCAGGCATCTAATGGAGTTTTAAGTTTCCAAAACTGGGCCCCAGTGCTTCCTTCCTTCTATGGCCAGCCTGCCACACAGTACTTCCTGTGCCTGCCCCTCCTCTCATTCCCTGTACCCTTATGACATCCAGCCTACACTGGAGGGCTTTTCTAATTTTCTGATACATATGTCTCTGGCAACTGAGCTTGGCAAAAAGGAAACTACAATGAGGAAGATATGCACTCTGCCTCTCTGACAGATGAATACATTAAGCACAAGGATGAGGAGCAACTCACCCCTTTATCGGGTCTCAACTTGAGCAGCTGGAAGACTGACACCATTAATCAAGAGAGGGCCTAGGAAGAGCAACTGGAATAAAAGATGAGTTCAATTCTGGATATTGAATCTGATGTGTCCTCAAGACACACAGGACAGCGGTGCTACAAACAGCACGCCATTTGATATTCTGCATGGCATCCTTAAAAGAGCATGACTTCTGTTTGCTGCCAGGGAAAATGAGATCGCGTTCTGCTTGGTACTCTGGAGCTTGCCAAGGTCAAGTGCATTCTAAATTGATGCAATGATGTGTTTATGTTCTTGAGCCCTTTGTTTGTATTATAAAGACTCTGACTTCTTCTTTCATATACGCGCAAGTTAGAGATTCATATGTTGTCAAGGTGAACTAACTGCACCAACATCATGAGCTCTATTTTGAGTAAGTTTCTCACCTCACACCTGTCATTTACTTCAAGTTCTACCCCTAACCCGCAACCTGCAGGGGTGACAGCATGCACTCAAGAGCTGTGTTTTGTTTTTCCTGGGCTCAAGCAATCCTCCCACCTCAGCCACCCAAGAAGCTGAGACTACAGATGAGTGCCAGCACACCTGGCACTTTCACAGGCTCTCTCCAACAGTCATGCTAATGGTGATTCCTTCACACACCTGAAGGATTGCCTGAGGATGCAACATTTGAAAGCCTAAAATACACAAATACACTATTTGACAAGCCTTGTTGATACCAATTAACCTAGGCTCAGGGAGTGCTGGGGCCTAACATAGCTAAATTTCAGCAAGGCACCAGAGTTCTTGGTGAGTTTTTTGTAGATGAGGTAGAGAAATATACCTAGGGAACAGATCATAACTGCTAGATGGTACGCTCAAGGACACAGATCAAGAAATACACAACCTGAAGGCCCACCGTGACTTGTGCCTGGTTTCATTTGCCCAAACATCCCCTACATCAAGTTTGAGTCATGATTTAGATAACAGGCAGTTGCCACATTATCCATTCACACTTCACCACCCTACTGTCTGATACCAACTTCACAACCAACGTTCCAGAAGGTCTCTGCCTCTCCTATTCACTCCCTCACCCTATCCTTGCTCTGATTCAAGTTTGTCTCTCTTAGTCTGATGTGGGACCCTCATGCATTTTATTTCATCTTCTGTCTGTCCAAGGGCACTGACCTCCTCAAGCAGAAAGATGGTGCACTGCATGTGGCCACGTGGCCGCTGGGTACCCTGCACCCTGTCTGAGCTTTGCAAGCCCACAAAAGCACGGACAGACACATGTGAAGTAAAAAGGACAGGGGACAAGGAGCCAAGAGTTAGTTCTGGTGGTGGCTCTGCCTCGCTAGGGACGTAGTTGATACTCTGTCCTCTCACCAGGTGATGAGCCTCATGGAGAGAACTGATGAGAAAGTTTTTTTGTGAACTGAAAATGCTGTCAAGCACTGGGCACCAATATTTTATCTCAACTTCTTTCACCAAATCATGCTAAACTTTGGGTATTAGTAAAGTTTTGATTGTAAAAATTGCTTCCTGAATGACCCAGAGGGATTTTCTGAATTTGCTTACATTATTCAGAATTGGAATAATGCTTTAAATTTAGCTGTCACAATTATTAAACACATTGTAAGTTTTAAATTATGATATAAATGAACATATCACCTACCTTCAAAAAATTTTGAAAAAGAAGACAGGAGAACAAGAGACTGAAACCCCAACATGAAACACAATATTGAGGTTTAGTCATCATTTTCTTTTTCTAGGTTATTTTTGGTGTTTACATATTCATACAAAGTTTAAATTGGATTTTGGGAAGATACTGGTAAACTGTAACATGGGACAGAATTTTTGCCACAGGAATTGCTATGTGCTTATATCTTTATTCTCATCATGAGGGAAAACACTCATAATAAAATTATTTGCTATTATGACATCAGCTATTGTGAAGAACCAATGACTCCTCCACTTTCTTAGGAATTCCTTAGAGATTTCCTTTGCCCTTATTATTGGTCAAAATGACTTATTTTAGCAATTTTAAAAGAATTCACAGTAGAGATGTTTCCTCTACCCTCCTAGTCATCTGAGAATGTCATTTTGTATCTTAGTCTTTATCTTTCAAACCTTTTTTCACTATCCCTTGGCTTTTGATGGGGATTACTGATTGCATTCTGGGATGACCTTAATTTTTCTTTCTGTATAGGCAAGTCTATGATTTCTAGTGAATGTTACTAGCAATTATTTCTCAGTGTTTTGAAAATTGTCAATAGGTACTCCAGAAGAGGGGGGAGTACCATAATCAAATATATTTGGGAAATCTTGGGTCCTGCATGCAAGGACCCGAGATTTGTGTGATCCACAAATGGTATGGAAGGACCCAAACCTTGTGACTGTAGGTTTGCTGACGTGCACAGCGGGTTTTCAAAGTGTGTATTTCCTAAGTGTATTTAACAGGATCTTTTTGAACTGACAGAATACTAAGTAACAGCTCCTGAAAGATAATCAGCAAAGCCTGGTTATAATTCTAATTATATACATATTTAATCTCTCAAAAAAAGGAGACTGTGTCTAGGTCTAGGATCCAGAATTATTTTTTGAAGAATCCTGCATAATATGTGTACTATAAAATTTTCCACCGTGACCATTTTAAGTGGATACTCCAGTGGCTTAGGGATGAGATGTTCCTTGTACAGCCACTGAGGGCCTCCTGTAAACTGCACACTCGCTTTGTTCTTTACAGCTCTAAATTTTAACTTCATTGAGCAGCACTTATTCCCAGGACCATGGCTCAATGCTAGTTACTGTGGTGGGAACACCAGAGCACATGAGGACTTATTTTGGCCTGTTGCATTTGTTTGGGTGTCTCAGCTTCATCCTCAGGAATTCTGTATGGGAAGATGTGGCCCTGCAGCCGGTGTTCCTGCCATCTGCCTGTGTCACCTCCCAGCAGTTGTGATCTGAGCATGTTTTGAAAGCTCATCATTGGTGATTCTGCTCTCTTCTGCTTCCTGTACCATTCTCCACCACCGAGCTCTGCCTTTAGTTTCTCTGCATTTTCTTACCCCACTTACCTTGTTTTATATTTATCTTATCTTACTTTTTATTTTTGCTGCCTCTTACAGATTTCAGCTTCATAAATACTGTTTTTTCAAATCTCAATATCAGAGAAGTTTTCTTCAATGTGCTAAAGCACATCCCTTTAAGATGTCACTTTCAAAGTTGTCACTTTCCAGCACCTTCCAGGTGATGCTCCCTGTGCTCTCTGAAGAGGGTTTGCACCTTGGCTCCCCATAGATGTCTTTGTCTGCTTATTGGCCCTCAAGTGAGAGTTGGGTAAATGAAGACCAGGGGTTCATGGCTGTCGGGACACCTGGGGGTGGTGCAGGCACCTTTGTGGATTTCCCTGGAGCTGCTGGCAGCTGGGTTTTCTCCAGGCCCATTTCCCACACAGAGCTGACATCTATCAGCACAAGTCTGCCAGGATAAGATCTTTCCCTCCCTTAGCTCCATGCTGAGAATAAACAGGGCGGACCCAGCCCAGTCACTCCCCAGGCACTGGCACTGGGCCTCTGCTGCTGACAATAGCTTCCAACCCCACCCATCCCTCCTGCTTTGCGCCTCACACCAGGTTGGTCCTGCTTGCTGTTGTCCTGTGGAAAGAAACTGGGGCGGGAGGATCAGGAGAACAAGCTGCAGGAGTGCCACAGCTGTTGGGGAGCCCAGGTCAGCGGGATCAGCTGCTCTGTTCCCTGCTTCTACAGACCTGGGTTTGTACATGTGAGCAGGAGGTAAGAAAAGAGGGCAGGGCAGGCCACGCCACCTTCACCCAGGGGACCCAGCATGGGTAGCTCACCGGTGACATCTCTCCATCCGGTCTCCCCTGTTCATAAACTCGTAGAGATTCCTTTATGTTCTCTGAACAGGCTGAATGTGTGTCCTAGTCTGAGTTTTTGAAGTCTTCTGTCTGTCACTAGGCACTGAGTGAGGAGCAGGAAGAAGCCATCATAGACTGAAAAGCTGTAATTGGCTTTATGACTCTGATGGTGGGAGACTCTGTGCCAAGGTTTCCTTCCTGATATTAACAAGTATGTGAGAAGGTGGTACACTACAGTGGCAAGCAGCTGGCTCCCAGTATGCCAATGAATCTGCTGCCTAACCTTTGCATGTCACATCAATATCTCCAGAGCCAAACCAGAAAAGCCCAAGTTCAAATCCTCTGCTCTGAGCTCATCTGGGTAATGTCTAAGTCCTCAGCAAAACAATAGAAATAGCTCCCAGTACTTAGGGCCATGCCTGCTTTCTTAGTTGCTGTAACTGACTACTCAAAGAGTCTAGGATAGCCATCTAAGAAATGTAACCACTCCTAAGAAAACCTATATGTGCTCTTTCTGAAGACTGCTTCAAATGGTCCTAAAGTGAAAAATTTCGGTTTTAACTATGTTTCTTATGTAACCAATTAAAGATCAACAGAAATTTGACAGGTTTGGGGAGAGTGTCATCCTAAAGACTGTAAAATGACTGCACCATACGTGTACAATGCCATGTGGAAGAGTGGTTTTCGCCAGCTCACTGTGGAGATTTCCACATGTTCAAAAATTTGCCAAACAGGCCAGAAGCCAGTAGAATTCAAACAGATTATTTATTCCAAGTTCCATTAGTTGAAAGTTTGTCAGAAGTTACTACATTAAGTGCATATTCGGAGTTGTCACAGCTGTGGTACTTCTAACAAAAGTTAGCATCTCCTCAACCTGATTCAAAAGACTCAGGGACTCAGGGTATCTCCATCACTCAGAATCCATGAGGAATGTTTCAAAGTCCAGATCCAAGTCAGAAACCAGGGCACCCACAAAGTCATCGATGGAAGGGCACTTCTGAAGCATTCCTGCAACCAAAGGAAAGACCAGCTTAGCAACCACAAAGGGCAAGGACCCCATCACATCTCTGGACATTTCATTAAAGCTGTGGCCCCTGAGGCTGTTCCTGAATTTAAAGTATTTTATTTTCTAATCAATACTTAGAGATTTGGGGGCAAATAGATTTCCCAAGAAATTCTGCTGCCGCAGATATCACCATCCACTTGGAATGATGTTATAGGACTGATTTTTTTTTTAGTTATCGTTAACTAAGATGACTCAGAACTTAGTTAAGTTTAATTATTTATTGTTTTATTATCAAGTTGTATACACTTCAAAAACAATCACTACTTCTTTTGCAGAAATCTTACACTAGAATCAAGTTTCTGCCTTTCCTCCAGATTCCTGACTTAGGGAACTGCTCAACTTTGCAACTTAAGGTCTGTGTAATGCAGAAGTCACCTAAAGGCCTGGTACCCACCTTTCCTTATCTGAAGGCTCTTTAAAGATAGAACAAGAAGTAGGAAAAGCAGAGGCACCAAGTCTGGCATGTAAGAATTCAAAAGCTGAATTTATCTCCAATCTTCACTTCAAAGCAGCCAAAGACTTTGTTGCTTCGACCTATGTTCCTGAGCAGATAATGCTCAGAGGGTGAGCAGGCTCTTCCACACTGGCATATAATTTGGGAGGTGGATTCTGCAAGACTACTTCCAATAACAAGATGTTAAAAGATTGCTATAATCTTCAATCACCCTCTAAATCTTTAATGCAGTTCAATTAGCATGTCGTGAGTGTTTGCGATGTTAAGCACTGGCCAGGACATGAGCACAGACAGGAGCAGACCACATTGCAACTCACAGGTATGAAGGACACAATCACCAGAACAAATGGTGTCGAACCAGGATGTCCCTACGAGGGCCCTAACTATGACCTCCTCGTCCCCGCCATAGCCACTTACAAGAACTAATGTCAGGTGGTGACATGCCTAACTAAAGGTTGAGATTACAAAATGTCTACAGTGGCACAGAACATCTTTGTGATTCTAGGGTAGGCAAATGTTTCCTAGGATAAAGAAAGCAATAACCATAAAAAAATTGGAATGTTAAATTTCACCAAAGTTAAAAACATCTATTTTTGGGGTGGGGGGGGCACTGGGGTTTGAACTCAGGCCTTGCACTTATTTGCTAGGCAGGCGCTCTACTACTTGAGCCATGCCCCCTGTCCTTTTCTGCTTTAGTTATTTCTCAGGTAGGGTCTTGTACATTTGCCCAGGCCAGCTGCAGACAAAGAGTCTCCTACCTAAAGCCCCCCATGTAGCTGGGACCAAAGGTGTCAGCCACCAAACAGGCTTATTGATTGAGATCCTTCAATCTCTACTTCCTGAGAAGCTGGGATTATAGACGTGAACCACAGTGCCTGGCGAAAGCATCTACAAATAAGAAATGAGGGGGAGAGAATACTCACAAAACTTTAAGGCACACAGGACTGCTATCTGGAACTCTGAACTGTTGTACGAACTTTAAAAAGACACAAATGACAGCAGTCACTGGGAAATAAACTAACATCACCATGAGGTGCCATCACATACCTGCCAGAATGGCTGAAAGACGAACGTCACTAAATATTAACAAGGCTGCAGGTGACAAGCCTTGTAGTTGTGAGAGGGTAAAATGATATAACCCCTTGGAGAAAGCCCTAGCATGCTCTTGCAAAGCTAAACACACACCTACCCTACTTCCAGGCAATTTTACTCCTGTGTATTCACCCAAAGAGGAATAAAAGCATGTGTCGAGAGAGAGGACCTGTCTAACCTCAGGCAGGAAACAACATACGTGAGAACAGTCTGTGGTAAAGAGCCTCACTGCCCAGCCACAAGGAAAAACAAGCCATTCAAACCTGCACAAACACAGATGGATCTCAAAACCCTGACACTGAATGAAAGACGCTGTACACGCAGAAAGACACACTGTGTGATTCACTTACATGAAGTTCAAAATCAGGTCCCATCAATCAGGGTGGTGGTTGCCTTGGGAGTAGACTCTGGCATGCTGACAAGGGCATGAGGGAGTGATCTAGTGCGATGGTGATGTCCTAGATCTAGATAGGAACTGGAGTTGGGCAGGGGTATGGCTAGGGCAAAACTCACTGAATGGGACATGAAGATTTGTGCATTTTCCTATCTAAAAATTTTACCAGTACAAAAGTAAACCAATGTTGAGTGCCAATGCTATGTGTGCAAATGTAGCTAGTGGTTAAGTATACTGATGTCTGCTACTTTAACTTTTAAATGCATTCAAGGATATGATTTATTGATGGACAGATGGAGAGAGATAAATATTTCAGAATGTTAATTATAACAAATTTTTATTTTGTAGAATCAAAATGGCAAGCCATCAATATAAAATTTTGGGAAAAAGTAAATTGTAGATGTTAACAGCATACAAAGTGCAGTTGGTGGAAGAGAGAAGAAAGAGCTCATGGGGATCTGATGGTCACTGAAGGAGGGAGCGACAGGTTCTATAAGGATGGGAGTCCAGTCGAGGAGATTCCATGAGGGCCTGAAAGCATGGGGAGGCCATGGGATCTGGGTAGAAATGTAACAGACATTTGGCCCTAAATTTGGGCCTTTTAGGGGAGAGGACATATAAGGCACAAAAGTGGTAATCTACAAAATGTTTGATGGCTACGAAGTAGTCCAGTGGGGCAATGTGAGGCTGGAGGGGAACCAACAAGACAATCTAGACCTGTACACCAGAGGCCAGCAGGAAAGGAGGTGGAAGGTGAGTCTGGCACAAGAGGAGCAGGACAGCACGAACAACTGCTGGTGGAGTGTGAGGTGCAGGATATGCTCCTCAGAGGCGTCCAGGCTATGGCTGGCAGTAAGGACAAGAGTTCAGGGTGCAAAGACCGGTATGGGCATTCTAAGCAGACAAGCACAGGGGCGGGAAAAGAGCAACATAAAACAACAGCTCCAAACCCAAGCCTGTAAGCCATCAACTAGGACCAGTGTAGCTGAGAACAATACCACAGTATTCTAGTACTGCAGATCAAGATATTTGCATCCTCATTCAAGTTCAAATTCTAACAGCCCCATCTTAGGGAATATCCAAGAAATAAGGGGTAGTTACTAGGAAGGAACCTTATGGTTTACCTTTATTTGTACAACTAAAATTCAAAGTACAGCTTTCTCTTTTTTTTTTTTTTCATTTTTCTTTTATTATTCATATGTGCATACAAGGCTTGGTTTATTTCTCCCCCCTGCCCCCACCCCCTCCCTTACCACCCACTCCACCCCCTCCCGCTCCCCCCTCAATACCCAGCAGAAACTATTTTGCCCTTATCTCTAATTTTGTTGTAGAGAGAGTATAAGCAATAATAGGAAGGAACAAGGGGTTTTGCTGGTTGAGATAAGGATAGCTATACAGGGCATTGACTCACATTGATTTCCTGTGCGTGGGTGTTACCTTCTAGGTTAATTCTTTTTAATCTAACCTTTTCTCTAGTTCCTGGTCTCCTTTTCCTATTGGCCTCAGTTGCTTTAAGGTATCTGCTTTAGTTTCTCTGCATTAAGGGCAACAAATGCTAGCTAGTTTTTTAGGTGTCTTACCTATCCTCACCCCTCCCTTGTGTGCTCTCGCTTTTATCATGTGCTCATAGTCCAATCCCCTTGTTGTGTTTGCCCTTGATCTAATGTCCACATATGAGGGAGAACATACGATTTTTGGTCTTTTGGCCAGGCTAACCTCACTCAGAATGATGTTCTCCAATTCCATCCATTTACCAGCGAATGATAACATTTCGTTCTTCTTCATGGCTGCATAAAATTCCATTGTGTATAGATACCACATTTTCTTAATCCATTCGTCAGTGCTGGGGCATCTTGGCTGTTTCCATAACTTGGCTATTGTGAATAGTGCCGCAATAAACATGGATGTGCAGGTGCCTCTGGAGTAACAGTCTTTTGGGTATATCCCCAAGAGTGGTATTGCTGGATCAAATGGTAGATCGATGTCCAGCTTTTTAAGTAGCCTCCAAATTTTTTTCCAGAGTGGTTGTACTAGTCTACATTCCCACCAACAGTGTAAGAGGGTTCCTTTTTCCCCGCATCCTCGCCAACACCTGTTGTTGGTGGTGTTGCTGATGATGGCTATTCTAACAGGGGTGAGGTGGAATCTTAGTGTGGTTTTAATTTGCATTTCCTTTATTGCTAGAGATGGTGAGCATTTTTTCATGTGTTTTTGGCCATTTGAATTTCTTCTTTTGAGAAAGTTCTGTTTAGTTCACTTGCCCATTTCTTTATTGGTTCATTAGTTTTGGGAGAATTTAGTTTTTTAAGTTCCCTGTATATTCTGGTTATCAGTCCTTTGTCTGATGTATAGTTGGCAAATATTTTCTCCCACTCTGTGGGTGTTCTCTTCAGTTTAGAGACCATTTCTTTTGATGAACAGAAGCTTTTTAGTTTTATGAGGTCCCATTTATCTATGCTATCTCTTAGTTGCTGTGCTGCTGGGGTTTCATTGAGAAAGTTCTTACCTATACCTACTAACTCCAGAGTATTTCCTACTCTTTCTTGTATCAACTTAAGAGTTTGGGGTCTGATATTAAGATCCTTGATCCATTTTGAGTTAATCTTGGTATAGGGTGATATACATGGATCTAGTTTCAGTTTTTTGCAGACTGCTAACCAGTTTTCCCAGCAGTTTTTGTTGAAGAGGCTGCTATTTCTCCATCGTATATTTTTAGCTCCTTTGTCAAAGATAAGTTGCTTATAGTTGTGTGGCTTCATATCTGGTCCTCTATTCTGTTCCACTGGTCTTCATGTCTGTTTTTGTGCCAGTACCATGCTGTTTTTATTGTTATTGCTTTGTAATATAGTTTGAAGTCAGGTATTGTGATACCTCCTGCATTGTTCTTTTGACTGAGTATTGCCTTGGCTATTCGTGGCCTCTTGTGTTTCCATATAAATTTACAGTAGATTTTTCAATCTCTTTAATGAATGTCATTGGAATTTTGATGGGAATTGCATTAA